CTTTGGTGCACATTATACAATTTAAACATGTTTATTCTGTTAACTATTTGTATTCTTACAAAATACATTCATGAAAATAAGATAGAAATCATGAGAAAAATAAAAGCTTCTAATAATCTTTGTGTGTGCAAAACGTTGATAATGTGAAACGCTTCAAACAGAACGGCACAAAGCTCTTATGCACATCTAGGGTGCAGAATGATGTGCTTGAAGCAACATAAGTCACAGCGCGCTGCACTCCATACGGTACAAACAAAGAGAAGAGAAATGAGAGAGTAATGAACTCCAGCAAGATGTCATTTTATGCGAATCCCCAGACCTTTATCTACACATCAAGTATTATAATGGGAATATATCATCTTGGAGAGAGAGTTTGACCGTGCTGACTTTCATAACTGAACGTGACGTGCTGTTTGAATGCTGAGTGGAGAATGACTGATAGCTGCAGCAGAAGGAAGATCAATTTCTATAAACTTAAATTTAACAATGTAAATATAATTCTGTCCCTCACATTACGATATGGAATGGCTTCAGATGATATAGGCTATACAGTGAATGAAAACCAAACTGGTGCTCTTCTGTTTCTTTTGGTGTATGACTCCCCTTGTGCCGTATAAAAAGCACAATAGTTGCTGTTATCTGAAACAACCGCGGTTAGATCAAATAATTTCGATTAGACAGTTATTTAATTATCGCGACAGGCCTATGTGCAAAGACCTTTACTCTTATTTTAGTATTATTTATATATTATTATAGTATTTATTAATAGATTAGATTTAATTTTTTACACACGTTTTAGTAGTTTATTCTTTTTTGTTGTTTTTAAATATTTCTATTTAGCATTTTTATTGCGGTTTTAGTTTGAGAACTTTTAGTACTTCAAACGTATTTCAGTTAGTTGTTCAGTAAATTCTTTTTTTTTTTAGTTTTTCATTTAGATATTTAGATTGATTGTTATTTCAGCTTTATTTCAATTATCAAAAGCTTTTTTAATAATTGAAAAGTAGTGCTGTCAAACGATTAATCGTGATTAATCGCATCCAAAATAAAAGTTTTTGTTTACGTAATATATGTATGTGTGCTGTGTATGTTTATTATGTATATATAAATACACACATATGCATGTATATATTTCAGAAAAATATGCTGTTTATATATTAAATATATGTATTTATAATATAAATTATATGAATATAAATACAGACATGTAAATACGTGTAAACATTTTCAAAATACTGTATGTGTGTGTATATATACATATATTCATAATAAATATACACAGAGCACACACGTATATTATGCAAACAAAAACTTTTATTTTTGATGCGATTAATCATTTGACAGCACTAATTGTAAACAATGATGTCATCAATATTGCTTATCAATTTGAGCCTGATTGTGACGCAGAGGATATTAGTGAAGAGGATTGCACAGAACCTGTGCAAGCACAGCTCTTAATGGTATGTTTTCTGTTTGTTGTTGTCTCATACTTTTAGATACGC